TTGTTCTGTGTAGTTAAACATATGAACTGGCATAACAAGAATTGAGGATTTCCTGTATTTTGATTGTGCTAAACCTTCTTTGTATGTCTGCACCCATTCAATGTCATCTCCTCAGCGTGTTGAGAGCACCCTTAGTTAATTTTCTGGTCACTATGGATGAGGATGTTCTGCTGAATGGGGAGCTGGAGCCACACATGTAATGAGGTGGCACCAACTAGGCACCTTCCCTTAAGGTGGTTTGTGGGTACCAGGAGAGCCCCAAGCAGCAAACAAACAGCTGATAGCGAAGGGGGGTGAAAACCCAACCTTGCTAGGGCTCAGGTGGTGGATGAGGATTACAGACAGGTATTTCCAGCCACTTGAAACCTGGAGCCCAGGGTTCCTCCCGGAGCTCATCCACCCTCCCAAAGAGCCAAACCAGGCTTGCTGCTTGAGTATAGCTTCCTACAGTAAGGGATTGCTTGTCAGGCTGGGGGCTAGGGAGGGTGGGGATGCAAGAGTGGTTTTGGCATGAGGTGCCTGGATCTTACTTGATGGAGCAAAGCTTGGACCGAGTCTGGAGCCCCTTTCAGTGATTACAGCACCCTGCATGAGCCCTGCATCACCCAAAGGAGACCCCAGGAAGGAAGAGGATGTACCTGCTGCCTGTGCCTGACCTACGATGCTGGCAGGAACAGCAGAGGGGCTGAGCTGGCTGCAGCCTGGCTGTGTGACTATGGTCTTCTGTGTACACAGCATGCCTTTATAGGGGTGGGAGCTGCTGGTGGGGCAGAAAAGATGATCCAGCACCTGATCAGCAGCCAGTGTAACAGCCTGGCTCTTGGCTCCATCCCCAGCCCAGTTTTGGAGAAAAGCACCTGTACCTATTCCCAAGCACAGAGCGTGAGGACTTCTCCCCTGCTGAATGCACCAGTGCTCTTAGCCGCGGTGGAAGTGGCACTTGTGAAAGGTAGGTTTGGGCTTTTGCTTCTCAATGGGAACATAGGGGCGTGTTGCGATGAAGAGACGGGACACAGCTTGATGCAAGCAAGATGTTGATTTATTAGGATTTCTTAGGTTCCTTATATCCATAGCAAAGGCAGCGTGTTTTCTACTGATTGGCTAATTTTAGACACTAGACATTTACTCATTGGTTAATACTAACATACCTTCCTTGCTCAAACTACAAGGACCTTAGCACATCTTTTTTTCAACACAATTTACTGCCTGTATTCCTCAACAGAGCAGGCATTCTCTGTTCCTTCTAGACAACATTGTTATCTGGTTCCTCCTAGGGCTTGTGGCCAACGAGTTCCAGCACGTCCTCCTTTATCAGTTGTTTAACACTTGAAGTTTTATTGAGGCTAGCTGAGCTCTGGCCTTCAGGGGCAGATCTCCCAGGCGCTGCTCTCAGACATATCCCTGCCTGGATATATGGGTGGAGGTGTGCATTAGCCACTGTGACAGACGGAAACAGGGGTGCTTCAGGACTGCCTCAAGCATCCCAGTCACTTACGTCACAAGAGAGAGTCTGAAGAGTCTGATCTGAGCCGGGCTTTCTTCCTCTTCATCAGGGAGCTTCTGGATCTCTGCAGCTACCCTTACACCATTGCAGAGAAGGAAATCACACAGGAATGAAAAGGCATGCATGCTTCTGGTTGGCAACAACTGTGAGAGAAAGGATCAGCTCAGGCAGGCAGCACTTAACAAATACCAAAATCTTCAGGCAAAGAAGAGAGGCCCATGAAACATTAATTTCCCTGTTAAAATTGGGCTAACTTCAAGGTTGACAGTTGAGCAGAAGCTTGGGGAGCCTCTGGAGTGATTCTGAGTTTGTCTAGCTGGTTGATCTCCTAAAGAAAAAATGGCTCTATCTGTCTGCACTTATCTCCACAGCTTGCCTTGCAGCTGAATTCCAACATTGGTTCGTATGTTTCCTACCACTCATTGAGATGCAGAGATAAACTGCTCAATCCACTATGAAGTGGTCTATATTTTCAGCCAAACATGGGTCAGCCAGAGCTTCAGTTAAGTTTGATGGGAGATAAGGTGGCAGAGAAGCAGTACAGATCAGGTCATCTCTGAAGGCCTGAATGCACTTGGAGTCTGGTGGGTGACTTGGAAAATGCAGGCTGAAATAGCCATGGGGCAGCAGGTACCCTCTGTCCTGTCAGCAGCCCCTTCATTACCTGAGATCTCTATGCAAGGTGGTTGTTTTTGGTCAAGCAGTCCTCCTTACTTGGGTACAGTTCAGTGGTGTAATAACCAGCAATCACATCTAGCAGAAGCCCACCTACAAGGAGCAGGTACCCTGGCAGAAAATAAATGCATGGTCCTTCTCAGAGACAAGACAGTCTCATAACTAGCCATTTACTTGGAACTAGTCTCTCACCTGGCAGCTCCTGCTGACGTCTTGACAGGGGTGTCCTTGCTGCAGCCTGTCCCCTCTAGCCCAGGTAAGGCAAGGGCTCTTTATACCTCTGTATTTGCACAATAGCTGGGTATGGACATTAGCTGAAATTCCAGGATATCCTGCTCCCACTAAGAAGCAGAATAACGTTTCAAAAAGCTTTCTTCAGTCAGCTTGGAAACATGCATTTAATTGAAGTATATTGATTTACAAAAGTATTCATGCAGAGTTTATGCGAGACACACCTAGTTCCTTGGGCATGGGTCTCCATGTAGATGAAGTCTCCCAGAGTCACTGAGAGATATAGACAGGATACATACACCTCCCTTGACACCCTTCACATCAAGAGTGGTGCAGAATGCACTGCTCTTAGAAGAGGTTTAGCACATTCCTGTGAGGAAAAAAATAATAAAATAGGAAAAGACAATGTAAATAACGTGGTATGAACTGAACCATATCACAGTAACAGGGAACAGCAGCAAAATGAGAGGGCTGTGCAAAGATAAGAGGCACAACTCTATGGAATAACTAGGACTTGTGTCGCAACCTAAGGAGATGGTCTTCTCTCATCATGATTTTTAAGGAAGTGAAACACCAGCTTTCCATGGAGGGTTGCTAGGTCTTTGCAAAGCACCTGCTGTATCAAGTGAGAAAGACCATAATTTCCATCATGGAACCAGCCACTGCTCTGTTAGGAAATCCTAGCTCTGCTTCTGTATGCAGCCATATTGTGGTCTCTGTTTCCATCTGCTCTGTTATGCTGAGTAAGAGAAGGGCTCCTGGTGAGAACCCCCTTCTGGTGTTCCGTACAGCGGGCTTTAGTGTACCATATGGGCCCAGGAGGTCAGGGTAGGGATTTAGAAGAGCTGGTAATATTGTGTCCCCTGTGTTTCCAATGCTTGGTTGCTTAACCAGAGGAATGTTTGTTCTAATGCTGTTTTGTGTGAATGCCTTTCCTTGGCACTTTTTGAAGAAACGGCATTTACCTGTATTTAAGGTCCAGCAGGACTTGGACTTTCAACTTGAGTGCTTACTTCTGTTGCCTGAACAACAAAGGACAACACCCCTGGGCTGTTTCCAGCTAGACCTTGGGGCTGCTGATGGCTGTGGTCACATAAGGAGGCAAGCCCTTCTTCTTTGGAGTCCTCAGTGCAAAAGGAGGGGTTGAAGCCAGCACAGCTCATGGGAAAGGAGAGACCCCTTCTTTCCTTTGACTTGCCCTGTGTTCTCACCTCCTCGTACCTTTTCATTGAGCCAATGAACCGGGTCCCAGGTGTGGAGGGTCATATATATGTTCTCACACATCACCAGTGGTTTTCTTCTATCTCCAGTTCACTCGAGGGGTGAAAGAGGCGGTATCCAGACATGGAGTGTCATAAGGCGAGCTCAGGAGTGCCACCTAGACTTTACGCGGTGTTTTACCGCCAGTGGCTTACAGCACATTGCTAGCTCAAGGCGGAGGATGACAGTGGCCTGAGAGTCACCGAAACATGCAAACATCACATGTTTCTTGAACCAGAATGGCACTGCATGCAATCTAGATATAAATTGCATGGGAGGCTGATGATGGATGGTCGTTTCAGTAAAATTCAAAAGCTCTACTTATTTGCAAAACTAGCCGATATAAACACAAGTGTGTTGCTGTGTTCTGAATGCCAAGCTTTTCTGATTACAAGAGAAAGACAAGCTTGGCATGGACAACTTTAGCAGAGGTTGGTGAAAGGAAACTAGCAGACAGACAAAATGTAAAAAAAAAAGGGATGGGGGAATCCAGAGAATGAAGTGACACTTTGTAGAGACCTAACTCTGGTGGAAGTTACTGTTTTCAGTTTCAGCTATGGCAAGGCAGATAGAATAGATCGACAACATAACTGCAAGCATGATATATTACATGGCTTCAATAGACCCAGAGGGAATTCTTTCTCCTGATAAAATAAATCCAATTGTGCAATACACACCCATTAATTGCTAAGTTCTTTTTATTTGATTTAACAGAATAAAGCAAAGTTGTCCATTAACACTCCTTGGAGTAAACATGTTGCAGCTTCCAGGCTGCTTACTGTGGTTTGGGTCCAAACACACCTGGCCAAACCAAATTTATGCTAGATCCCTGAACAGTCCCTCCATTGCACATCTTAAGCAGGTAAAGGTAAGAAAACCAAAATATTTTTAAAAGTTTTGTATAAAATCTGTATTGAAATGATTGAAACCAGGAGGAAATACCTATCTAGGAAATCATACTGCTCTGTCTAGTCATTATGTCCACATAAAATGTATTTAAGATGTGTTTTATCAATTGATTGCTTTGGTATCTGAAAAAATAACTCACAAAGGCAATTCATTTCATTTCTCCCTTGCTTTCCACAACACGGCATTTTTGAGTCACAGCATCTTTTTGTCACCTTGAGGATGGGAAGGCCACAGCAAGCTTGCTTCACCTTGATCCAGGCAGGACCAGCCAGCAAGCTGCATCTGTAGCTCTGGGACATGTGTCATGAGGTAGATTGTTGCTGGATGGTAGAGGCACTGCAACAGAGCCTCTGCAGAGCTGGAAGTCCTACAGGTACATCTTATGGCAAGCAGTCAGGAAATGAAACAAATCCCAGGGGCCATGCCGACACCCAAAAGAGGTAAGTAGGAGGCAAGGACCTCAGCTGGCAGAAAAAATGCTTGTGGAGATTCATCCTGTATTCAGAAAACTAAAAAGGTGTAGAAGGTGCCTATGACTGCATATTGCTTGTCACCAGGTAGGCTGGTAGAAAGAATTTCCCTCTGCCATAGATTTTATCCTGTTGGACGTGGTTCATATTTTGAAGTGAAGTGTGTTTTGAAGTGTGAAGTCTGTTTCAGAAGAGATGCAGAGCACTTTAAAATGTCTGCCCGCTTGGTTACAGTACCAGATTGGAGCCAAGCAGTCACTAGCCTCTGTCAGTACATTGCACTGGTAAGATGGAGCTCAGCTGCCTTGGAGAAAAGTGAATGTGCTCTGGAGATCTCTATCCAGCACACAGGGCAAAGGAGAGGAGTGGGTTCAAGCAACTGGTGGCTGAACCTGAATTTTGCAATCTGCAAGTCCAAAGTTTCATAGAATAAAATGATTTTTCTTATTGTAAGTGCTGGCTTTCCAGTGCAGAGCCAGCAATGAGGAACATCTTTGTTGTCACCATTTGACATCTTTACTGTCAAATGCCAGCTTCAATCGCCTTTCCAAACTTTGTAAGTTCGCCATCATTGACTTTTCTTGCAATTAGAATTATTTAGTAAGTGAAAATGAGAAATCATTAGCCCCGGAGTTATAGTCACCAATTTCTTCATGGCTTACTGGTGGGAGGACAGCTACATAATGACACAGAACACATGGAAAATCTCACTGGTTTCCATATTGCAAGTGTTGGGCTTGTGCCATTACCTTTTAGGACAAGGGAACTGTGCACACACTGGGACCCCATAAGCGGTCCCAGATGGGAGCTCTGCTCACTATGAAGTTCCATTCTTGGAGTCTGATTTCTGAAACATTCACAAGATGATGCCACATCAAAGTGCCTCTGGTACGTCCATGCCAAGTGAAAATGGTTAGTTTTCCACTGCAGTAGAGATGTGCTATTAAAGCAGCAGGGAAGAGAGGGGAACAGTCACAACCCTTAGTTTTCCAAGTCAAGGTTAAAAATTTGCCAGTGTAGCGCAGAATGAGGATTAATTTGTCTGAGTTTATTTGTCAGATAAACCTGAGCTGCTGGTGGACCATGACTGTTCCCAACCTAAGAGGGTGTACAGATGAGCCCTTATGGCTTGTCTGGTAAGCAAACTCTTGTCATTGTCAGGAGGAGAACCTAGCTCAGTACTTTAGACTTGGACCACCAATTTTAGGAATAATGGAATCCCGAGACCATAGTTACAGTAAAGAGTAAATACATGTAAATAAGCCTTCTTGTAAAAGAATATAAGCTGCTCTCAGGGAGTGCAGTGCACACTTGTAGTTTTTTAGCTTTAGCGACCACAGTTTTCATGTGGAGATGTTGTATGGCAAAGCTGGTATCAGTCTGGAGTTGGTGGCAATAGGATAGGAAAGAGATCCTACATAGGATCATGCACATCGAGAGATGCAGACAGTGTGGAGTTCAACAGAACTCTATGGCAGCTATAGGCTGTTTTAAATCTACATATTTGAAGGCATTTTGCGGAACCTGCCAACCAAATATTTCAGATGTGTGCAGCATCCAAATGCAACTACTTCAGGTCATCTAGGAGCAAAGATGTACAGCATGACAGTAGTTTGTGTGTCACCAGTTTCCTGCTGATCTTCAAAAAAATACTGTCTTCATAGTGATTTGAACTATACATTTGCTAGGTTTACGGGATGGTCTGGGAGTAATTTTGATGGTTGTGTGGGATCTGCTGGACAAAATGTGTGGGATCGCTGGACAAAATTCCAAATTCCACATTGATTAGCAGCTCAAAAGGCAAAACATGGCTTTTAAGGGGTGGTAGGAACTTAAAAGGCAAACAAACCCACAGCTGTTTAAAGGAGGAGAGTGGATTGGAGAGTTCAAGAGCATGTTGAGTGCAGAAGGCTGTTGACCAAGCAGATGCCATTGTTTTCATGTCTTGGGCTCTTTCTGTGGACTTGGTTTGGTTGCTGTTCTTGACGTTAGGGTAAGGGGTACTGTGTAAATGTTTATTTCTGCCTGAGGACCTGATTTTAATGTAAACTTCTCAAATCCTATACCATGGAGACTGAAATCCCGACTTTGTTTAGAATTCTGCACAATTACAAACTGTTTGGTTTCCTGATACCTTTTTTAAAAGTCCTAAAACTGAGAAACCCAGTGAAGCACAAAAACCCGCTAATATTTATCATAGTCAGCAACAAAAATCTTGTTCTAAGAAAATGTAGTCTGTATGTCCTTCCATGTTGTTGATGTTTTGATACTAGTATCCTCAGGTCTGAACTAGATGTCTTTGAGACAGACAGCAGCTGCTTTCTATTGTCAAGCTGCATCTATATTTTACAGCAGCATTTGGTAGCTCAGCTGATAGGGGTTGGGAACTGCATATATACATGCGTGCACTGAAGCTACTGAGTTTGTAAGGTTATTTGAGACTGGAGATAGTATCCTGCTGTTCGTGGTATGTAAAAAGAAACAGGGGTAGGGAGCTTTACATTCCTGCTGCTGGGCAGTTCAGCCTGAAATACTTGGCCAGCAATATGTACCATGGTGCTGTCTTGCTGCATTCCAGCCTATTTCTGCCCAAAAGTTCTGCTGTATTAAGTCAAACTACTGGCTGGAAAGGTCACAGTCCCTCATCAGAGGAGGAGGCAAACCCTGGAGGAAAAGGCAGTGTGTGTTGACGTCTAATCACCTTGCAACAGTGGTGAACTGCTCAAAACAGCACATTTCTCTATCACCCTTTTGGTGTTAGGACAGCTTTTGGCACATGTCAGAGATCTGTGAATCTTCTCTTGATCCACTTGGTACACTGCTTTGTCTCTTGTTGGTGCTATGTGGTCAGCTGAATTTCCTACTGACATCTTCAGGAGGATTGGTCTCAGCTTGCCCAACATCTGTGAACAATTCTAGTCCAAGGTCCTCCAAAAGACTAGGTCTCCAGACTAAAAGCTATATGTTTTATGGTCTTAGGGTACTTCTTTCAATTCCAATGCCTCCCTTTAGGTCCACAGGGATTCATGGAGACTTTGTGGGTTGCTAGCTTTTGGTTCGTCTGTTAAAATGATCTGTGCTTCCTCAGGGTACTACCTCTTCAGCAAAACGAGCATGCCAAAGGCCACATTTAACAAAACCCCTGAGATTCCTTCTCAGGCATCTCAGACACTTCATGGAGAGCCAGTGGCAGAAATCCAGATAAACCACATGATTCCAAAATAAACAACCCTCTTCCCCAGTGCAGCTTCTTCCCAATTGTCTTGCGTCCTCTGAGACTTCTTCTGATGCCCTTGGATGTAGAAGCTGTCAACACCTCCTCTTCTTCCCAGGCTCACCAGATCCTGTAGTCACAGCCTGTCTGGGAACCTCATCAACCCACCAGTGTGCTGGGGTGGGAGAAGACGGAAATCACTTCCCTGCAACCACCTGCTCTCAGGAGCCCAGGTGTAATTACCCTGTGAGCATGAAAGCTGTCCACTTCTCTTCCTCTGCTGAAAAAATAATCTTTCCTTGCCTGAACTAATACCTTTGGTAACTAGTTGGCACTAATGTGCTTTGGTAACTGTGGGAAAGTAATGGAAGATCGGCAAGGAGGATTGTAAATACGCTCAAGTGACCTGCACCTGGGGTGTTGGAAAACATGCATCGTACTAATCGTTGTTTACTCTTATGTGCTCAACAAGTAGAACATCTGCACTTAGATCACATAGGCCTGTGATGGACTCAAAGGCACCTTACTGAACAGGCCTGAGATTCCTGCCCTGCTGTCAGAGAGGATCAAAGCATAGTGGAAAACTCTGCCTGCTTGAATCCCTAATATACAGGTGAGAACAGCAGGTTCAAACTCTCTCTCTCTCTCACTCTCTAGCTATCAAGGACTCTCTTGCTCTGCAGTGCCTACATCCCCTGCTTGCGTGCCTCTGCCCAGGTGCTGCTTTGGAGAACTCTTGATCCACACAGTATCAGATTAAATTTGTTCTTTCCCTTTCACCGGTGGTTTTGTGGTTGTTCCTGTGTCCTGCCTGTGTCAGCTTGTTGTGAAATTACCAGATTTTGGTTATAGTAGAAGTAGAATGTTAGAGCACTGTGTTCTGAAACTAGTAACCATAGAGCCCTCACTAGGTAGTTATTGTTCTGTATCAAGGTACAAGTAGAACCCAGATGAAACAATGAAGAATAGAATAGATAAGTTTGGTTGGAGTCTAGCAATTATAGAACCCTGCTATGCACCAGTGATGCAGCTTAGAGACCCCCCTTGCCCTTCCTATCTTGATTTAAATATCAAGAACCAAATAATAGATATTAATTGAAATAACCATTGATTATTTGGATATGGGTATTGATAGTAATATGTATATAATCAAGGGACCAATCAATGAAAATCAAACCAGTAATATGTATTTGGTAACTAAGTATAATTTGAACTAACTGTTGAACAATGTAGCTTCAAAATACCTGTCAAGAGAATGAGAAGTTTTAGGCCTGATTAGTAAACTGAGAAAATCTTCTGGAGGTTCCAAGATTAAAGAGGGGGGCAAGGCTCTGTAACCAAGCTGAGCATGTGCGAGGATCGGGTTCAACCAGCAGACACAGCGAGGAAGGCTATGGATGACCACCAGAGGACCCTGGACAACCACCAGTGTACCTGAAGGCACATGTGTTACGGACATTTACATATATTAATGAGCTCCCAGGAATCTTATGAATATGTTAATTACCTTTTTTTGAAATGTGATGAATATGTATGTTTTGATTGTATATAATTTTCGTAGTGGAGCAACTTGAGACGCACACTAGGTGGAGTGATCCCTTGTGCGTCCAGCACTGTAACAAAGAAGTGCCTGCTTTCTAAACTTAAATTAAGGCTTAAAATGTTTGTTTCTGCCGATTTCAGTAACAAGCTCACACAGTAAGGTGTCTCTTTTTGTTCCCAAATCTAATTCATTCTCCCAAGGTTGCATAGAAAGGCAGGCAAACTGGAGCTGTAAGCTCCAGCTTACAGCAGCACAGCCCCCATGAAGCCTTGTTGAAGTTCAGCTTTCAAACATTAATGGTCATGACTGGCCAAACAGAAAAGCAGTATTTTCTTTCTCAGGTTCCCAAACCTGGTTAGGGAGATTGGCAGTGATGTGGAGGCTGGGGCACAGTCAGGTTTTTGCTTGCTGATGAGGGCTGCGATGGGATGAGTACAAAGTGGGTTGCAGGGAGGGTGTAGTACACTGGATGGTGGGAATGGGCTGAGGGTCCTGTGCTGTTCTTTAATGGCCGTGGCCTGGCTTTGCTAGGGAGTATGATGCAGGATTGGGCAATCCTGATGCTGGCTTCTTCTCCCCCATCCATCACCCTTACTTGGTACTTCTTTATTTCATGAAGAATGAAAAGAATCGAACCCAAAAGACAATTGAAGTTTTTGAGCACTGTTTATCGTATGATTTATTCAGACAAGGGGCTGGGGTGTGACTAGTTGTGTGGGACAAGTGGTTTTGGGGCTAATTCCAGGGACTTTTCCCTGCGGCCCAGGGCGGGGGAGGGCAGGGCCTAACCAGGCCGCCGGGCCGGTTGCTAGGGCCGCGTTGTGCCTAGCAACCGCCTACGGCGGCTCTGCGCTTGCGCAGTGAGGCGCCCTGCGCCGCGGG